TCCCACTGGCTCCTACATCACTACAGAATGTATGAGTCAGCAGGAGGACCCACATTCAGCGGGAAAAAAGATATTATTTTTACCCAAAGGTTATAATAATTGCAATAGCCTAGGAGCAGCAAAGCTGTGACAATGCAAGACTTGAGCCACCAGAAAAGTATATACAGTATATTTACTCTTCTTTTAGAACGTATGTTTCTGTATACAAGTGACACTTTAATGCCATATACCCTCTAATGGTGCCAGTCTTTCACATAGTCCGGGCAACATACCTGAGAAGCCAGAGTCACCTTTCTACCCCACCACATTGGGCAGTCTCATTATTTAAGCAATGCCTTCTAATATACAGCAACCATACTATTATGGCAGCTTTTCTATAGTACATGGCACCATAAAGTAAAGGTGGGTTGAGGTAGTGTTGCAGGTACACATTGCAGGCCAAGTCGATATGTAGATAAAAACGTTTTAAAAATATGTTGCAGGTGGGGTGTAGATCTCTGGCTGCCAGTGTATTGCTAGAAAAACAGAACTATACAGGTTTGTGGACTGGAGTAAGCTAAATGTCAAGGTTGATTTAATGTTTAGGTCGAGAACTGAATAGGCTCTTTTTAATATCTAGGACTCCATGGTTGCTTCCAATATATATATACTGTGTATGTGTATATATATATATATATATATATATATATATATATATATATATATATATGTGTGTGTGAGCATCCTAACTGTATGATTACTGTTTATTTCATTTAATTACAGTATTTCCTAGAAGATCAGCATTGTAGACAACACATCTTGCACTTCCGTAAGGGAACCTGTCATTTGAGATATAACGGCCATCATCAGCATACTTTTCAAAATGCTTGGTGACTGGCTGTACCACTTATCCTCTAGCCCCACTACTTGGTGTGTCATTTATCTGGTGCAAGCATGTGCAGCTTGATCGGTGTCAGAGTGTCTACTATAGCTGCATTTACACAGGTCAACAGAAGAAGCTTAGAATACATATTTTTTTGTCTGACATTGAGCAAGGACAATATAGTCTACTGAGAACTGTATGTGGAAAACTCCCCCCTTAAAACGATAGAATTAGGCACAATTAAGCAACAGACATGCTATCTTTATAACGGTTTATACATTGCCTACTTAATTAATTCAAAACATGGCAAGATAATGAAACACAGTAAACCAAAATCGCCTAATTTCCCAGAATGGAGAGAAAATGCCAATATGTATAGACAATGTATTGTTCGAATTTACCAAGTCAGTCCATCAATCCATTATTTATATCCTAAATACCATTGGTACTTACTGTGAAAGCGCCTGCCATGTCCTCTGTTTCTCAACAGCCTGTTTCGTATCCATCGTAATCTTGATGCAACATCCATGACCTTATAAAATATCCTGTAAAATAAGCTTTATGGAAGGGCATCCATTAAAAACTTATCCACCTTCGGAAACATCTCTTGAAAACTCCATTATTCCCAGTTTGCGTTCAAGAACTAGTCATGCAACATACTGTCATTTGCTGCCACCTGTGACAACCAATCGCTGAGAAGCAGGTCCTGAGAGAGACAGATATTTTATGCATGAAGGTGAATTGTCATTTGTTCCAATGTGGGCTGGAGATAATGTCTCTTTAAAAGCAGGATTATGCTGTGTTATTGTCCCACATACAATGAAGACCTATGCATAAAGTTCTGGTGATAATTTGACAGCATGGTTTGTGCAAAAAAGAATAATTCTCTTGAACTACGAATGTTGTTGCTACATTGGAAAACATTATTTATTCATGCTAATGAATATTAAAGGAATCTGTCTCTCCATCCTCCTGTATACAGAAAGAACAGGTGTGTTATATGAGTCAGCAAGGACAGTAATGTAGTTACAGACAGAATGATTTTTATATATATATATATATATATATATATATATATATATATAAAAACACACGAGTATACTGTGATTGAGATATATATATATATATATATATATATATATATATATATATATATATACACACACTATATTGCCAATAGTATTGGGATGCCTGCCTTTACACACATGAACTTTAATGGCATCCCAGTCTTAGTTCATAGGGTTTACTACTGAGTTGGCCCTGCCCTTTGCAGCTATACCAGCTTCAACTCTTCTGGGAAGGCTGTCCACAAGGTTTAGGAGTGTATCTATGGGAATGTTTGACCATTCTTCCAGAAGTGCATTTGTGATGTCAGGCACTGATGTCGGAGGAGAAGTCCTGGCTCGCAGTCTCCACTCTAAGGTGTCCATTTATGACACAGAATAGCTGCGATTCAGAGGATCGCAGCTATTCTCTGGTCATTCACAGTTTATGACACTCTGGAGATCAGCGAGAGAACATGTTCAGCCCTTTACTGGAGATCTGTGAAATCTCCCTCCAGATTCTCCAGCCCAGAGCTGGAGAATCAGAAGGACCGCAAACTAAGCAGCGATAATTTACCTCTTCTTAGTAAACTGATCTTTTACTGTAATCTCGCAAGATTATAGTAAAATCAGCCGTTTTCCAGCGTTTGTAGACCGTTCTCCAGCGTTTGTAGATCGTTCTCCCTTTGATTGGAGAACTGCTTCATAAAAGGCATTCACAGGAGAACTGTGTTCTCCAAGAATGCTGGAGAACTGAGCAGAGATCATTTACCGCTGGTTCATAAACGGACACCTAAGTCATCCTAAAGGTGTTCTGTCAGGTTGAGGTCAGAATTTGGTGCAGGCCAGTCAATTTCCTCCACCTTAAACTCACTCATGTCTATATGGACCTTGCAATGTGCACTGGTGCGCAGTCATGTTGGAACAGGAAGGGGCCATACCCAAACTGTTCCCACGAAATTGGGAGCATGAAGAAAACCTATACTTTGTTCCATTGGGACAAATTACAGGTACACTGGATATTGCACACTTTCCTCCCCCTTATACCTTCCCCATACTTCTCCACTGCCCCATTTGCCGGCTAGAGCCCCATAAAATACCTGATACTTAGTCCACTTCATCCCATTATGCAGCTGGGTATCTAAATGATCATTTGGCAGACCTGAACACTGTCACATTGTGGGGCATCTTTAATCACGTAAGCTCTTGTTGCAATGAGACAATTGCACAAGGAAGGAAGAAATTAGCCTGTGCATGCAAATATAGCTAGCTCTGAACATACATACTTGAACATTAAGGGCCAGTTCACAATACATGCGTTTCAGTGTGCTTAGTTTCTGCATCCAAAACGCACAGAAACTGTACTGGAACGTGGTAAAACGCATAAAAATGCACCAGAACACACTGAAACGCACTAAAATGCACCAAAAATGCACTGGAATGCACATGTCCCTATTTAACTTGAAGAAAAATAGGGGAAAAAATGAACCGGAAAGCTTCAAAAATGCACCGGAATGCCCCACAAATGCATCAAAAACGCACCGGAAGGTGCCCAATCCATGTCAAAAACGAGTATACAGAATTGCATCCGGAACGCATCTGGACTGCGTTTCTATGGTGTAAACCGGCCCTAAGTGCAAGGGCAACTTTTTAAGCACTTCTCTACCAGTGCTGTTTATAAACCATGGCTGGTAAAAGAGGATTTTTAAACAGGCTGTTGGCTTGTGTTAAATTTGTCCACTCGGCAGTGCAGTTTCAGCTTTTTACTTTACTGCCACCCAGTCACTTCCACAACCCACTGAAGGTACCAATGCCCCACCTAACTGCCCCCTCCATGTACCCTGGGCTCCACTGTCCAACATGAGGGCCTGGGATGGGCATGACACATGTCAGCAGATGGAACACAGGGAGTAACATAAAATTCTTTTTTAAAAAGAAAGGAAAAGCACACAAGAACAAATATGGTGAGTGCGCCTATATATAAAAATTTCTAACTATTTTGTTACATGTTACATATTGTTATGTTAGGGCTTTGAATGTCTGTTGTACAAAAAATGTAATATATTGGGGGGATTTACTAAAACTGGTGTATTCAGAATCTGGTGCAGCTGTGCATGGTAGCCAATGAGCTTCTAACATCAGATGATTTACCTCCCTTCCTGACCAGGCCATTTTTTCTGATTCGTTGCTGCGTTACTTTAACTGACAATTGCAACACTGTACATAAATTACATTTATGCCCTTTCTTTCCCCCACAAATTGAGCTTTCTTTTGGTGGTATTTGATCACCTCTGCTTTTTTTATTTTTTGCGCTATAAACAAAAAAAAAGACTGAGAATTTTGAAAAAAAAAAAAAAAACAATATTTTTGACCTTTTGCTATAAAACATATCCAATTAAAAAAAAATTTAGTTTCATCATAAATTTAGGCCAAAGTGTATTTGGCTAGATGTGTTTGCTAAAAAAAAATCCCAATACGTGTAAATTAATTGGTTTATGTGAAAGTTATAGCATCTATAGCGGTATATATACTGGAATATTTTTTTTATACTAGTAATGGCAGTGATCAGCGACTTATAGTGGGACTGCGGTGGGCATTCTGACATATATATACACACACACACACACATATATACGTGATTTTGCACATCCCCTTTATGATGATATGTGTAAGAACAACAAGGTATCTATTTCAAAAAGTGGAGGATGGAAAAGGTAATGGTATTTCAAAGAATTGTTTAACCACACTAGCATTGTGATGTGTGCCTGATCCTGATGGTGCTAGCAAAATAAGCACAGCTAATATAATAGCTATTTTGTGAATGGATGTGTACTGAACAGCAATGTAAGGGACGTATAAAAATAGATACCCCTTAAAAACAAAGTTCATATTATATGGTTTCTATGATATGTGCAGCAGCAGCCAGGGACCAAAATCCTGCTCTGAAAAGGGGACTCATTTCCTAGAACACTGCCTGCACAGTAGGGGTAAAGGAAAAAACACAGTAACACATTTCTGGTGGGAACTTTTATTCAGTCGCACCCTGGTCCTCCAAGCTAATGTATGTCCCACGTGTCTTACAGTTACCACCTATTAACCACTTCCCACCCGGCCACTATATATAAAAAACCGGACGATGGCAGTGCAGGGGCGGGTTGCCGTTCATAAACGACGCCCACCATTTTGGATTGTGCGCTCTCCATTTTGGATTGTGATCGCTGTACCGGACCTCTGGGTGAGGTCCCAATCATGTGATCACTGATTGGCCAATCAGTGATCACATGAATAAGTGTAAGCAAAATGTCACTTCCTGACATCATTGCTTACTATGTGTGAAATCTGTGAATGATCACAGAGATCACATGGTACAAGGCTATTCACAACAGCCTTGTACCATGTGACAAGCTGTGACCAATCACAGCTCACACAGTATTTCACAATGGCTGCAAGAATGCAGCCAGAGAGAAAGAGAATTGATTGCTTTTACAGCCTATATGGGTGTAAAAGCAATCAGTGTAAAAAAAAAAAAAAAAAAAAAATCTTCATCATCCCCCCACAAGTAGTACAGTGTCACTATAGTGACGCTGTACTGCTAGGGTGACAGTATGTTAAAAAAACAAAACATAAATAATAATATAAAAAAATAAAAATGTAAAAAAAGTTTTTGAAAAATCATAATTTTTGGTTATAAACTAAATTTGGGTTATTTTTTTTACTAAAAAGATAACTGAATACATTTTGGCCAAGATTGATGAAGAAACATTATTTATTTGCAAAATTTTATAAGAAATACACTTTTTAAAATTTTTTTGGGACATTTCCATTTATATAGCAAAAAAAATAAAAATCCCAGTGGTGAATAAATACCACCAAAATAAAGTTTTATCTGTCTCAAAAAAATGCTAAAAAATGTATATGAATACAATGTTGCATGACTGCCAATTGTCATTCAAAGTGTGATAGCGCTGAAAGCTGAAAATTGGCCTGGACAGGAAGGGGGTAAAAGTGTCCGGGCGTGAAGTGGTTAAACAACTCAATTGCACTGCCTCTATCGCACTGTGGAATTTATTCATCATAAGTGCAACAAAACTGGTGCCCAACGTGGGGCTAGGGTGAACAGAACACAGAAAAGTCACAGAAGTGATCCCTGTAGGTGGAAACAGTGAAAGAGAACTTCTGCAATTCATGTGAAAAAGCCCATAGGGCCTATGGTGTGGTGCTGTGAAGGATATATGACAAACTAACCCTTATTGTGCTAGGGATGTCACACTTACAAATGGAGATGGAGAGCGTACAAGATGAAATCAGCCAATCTCTAACTCCGATGATAATCAGTGAGCTGATTGAAACCTGTCAGTTTATCAAAGCCTCAGAAGAAAGGATTGCTGAAGGCAAAACCCATTGCCAATACATGAGGATAGTTAATGAGGAGCTGGATGAACTAGTCTGATGAACTGAGAATGCAGGGACTGTCATGGAATTTCTACAGGTGACTAAGAAATTCATCTCTGAGTTACAGAAAAGAAATAACGCTGAGGCACCAAGCGATAGTGACAAAGATTCTCAGAATGAACAATTAGAATCTTTAAAAAGACTATTATATTACGCAGGAAAAATTCCAAGAAACCGTTAAGATGATGGAGGAGCAGATTAAAGAGCTGAGCGTTACAAACAAAAATTCAAGGGAAAGTTGTTTACAATCAGAACCTGTTGGAGCTGATAAGAAATCTCACCAGGGTAACTTGCCAGAAGTCACAATAAGAAGGGACTTTAAAATTGTCAGTCAGATAAGTGAAAGGGGACAGAAAGACAAACTGCCTTACATTAACCTCATGCACTAGCTTGATATGGGACTACAGAGAGGATACTCAGAGTCTGAGATTGTGGAAGCAGTAGTCAAGGCCATAAGTCCTAGCTTAAGTCTTAGGGGAATGCTGGAAATTAAGAATGAGCTGACCCTAGTGCAATTGAAAAGTCACTACAAGGAAGAAAATGCATCAGATATGTACCAACAGCTGATTAGCATCTCAGAAAATAACAAAGAGACCCTCCAGAACCCTTTGTTTAGAGCCATTGAATTGAAAGATCACCTCTTATTTGCTTTACAAGGAGAAAGTTCAGATGAACCCTTTGGGACTGAACTAATAAAAAAGAAATTCCTAAGGTCAGTAGGTACTGGACTGAGAAGTGACCATATCAAATTTCAGCTAAAAAAACGATATCTAGATGACCCTTCTGTTTCAGATGAGCTGTTCATAGAAAAAATGAATGAAGCGGCTAACATGGAGATTTAAAAGAGAACAGAAGCAAAGGAAATCTAAGGCCAGCAAACCGATGAATCTCAGCGAATGCCAGTCCAGTATTCTATGTTGTACTCAAGAACCAGTTGCTATTACTAGCACAGCTTGCACAGTACCATTGCCCCAACCACAAGTGAGTAGCCAGACAACTCAGCCAATTCTGGATATTAAACTCGATCTTGAAAAGATGATACTGCAGATGCAAAAAGAAATGATAGAAATGAAAAAGCTTCTTCCAAGTTCAGGAGGTAGACATGATCGTGGGTTTAAAGGGCCGGCAGAAATGCTGGGAACAAGAATAAGGAGTTGTGAGTATTGTGAAAAGACTGTCTCTTCTGGTTCCGCTTTTGTCACTTCTGGTTGCCACGCAGTCCCACATCTGACGCGTTCCTCATAGGGCCCGAAAGGGGGAACATTTATTTTGTACACGTGGTGAACTCTTTTGGAGAATTTGAAGATTTTTGTGGGACTTTATTTAGGACTTTTCCACATCAAAAGATACATTTGGATATTTAGTTTTATTTACTATATGATATTTTGCGCTACTGGACCACATTAAGTTGTTTTTTGTCATATTGATTTATTAGAAGTGGCAGCAATGATTTGAGCACTAATTGTACTTATTGGCACATTAATTTAAGCACAGTTTTTGATTGTTTTTGTATGCTGTCTTTATTGGCTCAAGGCATCCAAGTTTGGTTCGGCCTGGTAAAACAATGTCCTGTTTGGTTGTATTCCAAACTGGAATTGTCTGTTTAGTAACAATTCAGAGAAGACAGTTCTCCAGAGTTTCACTTATATGCAACCCATCAGGCAAATGATGAAAGCTACTCAGTGTAAACAGAATGTTCCGAACTTGCAGGATGGGTCCTGTGTGGGCATTGCACCTGATGTGGGTTGCACTATTTGCAGAAATTCTTTGGCTCTTGGTACCAGTCTTAAGTAGAGCACCACGGTCTTCCCTACAATTAGCTTGTAATAAATTTACAAGGACCTCTGTTTTATTTGTTGACAGATCTAAAGCTGTTCTTAGTGTGTTAACAAACCCTGGAATGGATTTCTTTCCCTTAGCAGAGGTTTCTTTGAATATATCTTCAATGATGTTATAGCCAATGATGGGCTTCCCTGCTACTTTATCATCCTCTGATACAAGTTGCACGAATATCGGCTTGGTGTTATTATGACTTGATGTTAGCTGGAAAGTTGCTTCAACCCATCCGGAGAAGGGAACTTCAGTCTCATTGGCTGCTTTTCCATGTAAAACTCCTGGTCCGAGTAATTCTTCAAACGATCTGAGCACCACATGTGGCAAAAAATCGCTGTCTCCAGCCCTCATTGATTATACTGACCTGAGAGCCTGTATCCCATAAAGCATAGACAGGAATGTTGTTTGTCTGACAGTTTACATAGCATCTTTTCCTAATGAGACTAGCAACCTATGCTGTTTTGAGGTAATACAGTCCATTGTGGCCGACAGCATATCAGCAGTCTGGGGTAGGTACCTACTACGGGTAATGCAGCTCTGTTTTCTCTGCGACAGTCTGAGTTTAGACTTTTAGAGGGGGTACTCATTGCTGTGTGGGAATTTGTCTTACTAGTTTCTTTGATACAGGGAAGTGTGGGACTTTAAGATGCAGGGGCGGCGTGGTTACTGTCTGTCCCTCTACAGCAACCCTCTCCCGTTTAACTGGTTCTGTTTTGTCACTCTGCATCCTTTTGCCAAATGTCCAGATTGACCACATTTGAAAAACAACTTAATATGGTTCAGTAGCCAAAATATCATATAGTAAATAAAACTAAATATCCAAATGTAACTTTTGATGTAAAAAAGTCCTAAATAAAGTCCCACAAAAATCTTCAAATTCTCCAAAAGAGTTCACCACATGTACAAAATAAATGTTCCCCCTTTCGGGCCCTATGATGAAGTCAGAAGTGACGCAACGCATCAGATGTGGGACTGCACGGCAACCAGAAGTGACAAAAGCGAAACTGGAAGAGACGTGATTGGGACCATTTTGTGTCACTTGGTGGTGGTGAGAGCACTGCAGGGCTTCACATGGTTTATTTTCACTATCTACAGCATTTTTGAGCTTATATTTTTTTATTCTTGTAAATGGCTATGTGGGTCAATAAAGAAGGCATTTTGTACTGCACCATCTGGGTTTCTCTTTTGTCTTTTTTCCCTTACATGACCATTTGGGAGGTGACTACAGAGGAGGAAGAAGGGTGGTTGTGACCATTTTCAGTGCCTGTATATCCATTACCAACCAATCCATGGAATGATACCTGTGCATCCTGAAGAGAGTGACATCTTGGTGTATGGGAGATGGTGATTGTTTTCTTTAAGTGATTTAGCCAACCATGAAAGTAGGGGGCAAATTCATTTGTGGAGGGTACACCTGAAAGGGGGGACATTTATTTTGTACACATGGTGAACTCTCTTGGAGAATTTGAAGATTTTTGTGGGACTTTATTTACACTTTTCACATTAAAAGTTAAATTTGGATATTTAGTTTTGTTTTACTATATGATATTTTGCACTACTGAACCACATTAAGATGTGTTTTTGTGATAAAGACAGCATATCCAGCATAATTGAAACTGAAACAAGTAGTGGATGTAGGTACCTCACTCAGTAAGTCATGATCTGCATGCATCTACAACAAGCTCAGAAAACCAGATAGACAATTTCAACAAGGTCAATTCTCTTGAAAACTATGCTAATCGAGAGTTATGGGTTCCACCAGTGCCTCTCGAACACCTCACTAACGAGGACCAGCAAGTAGTCCAAAAGATGTTACGGGAAGGATGCAATGCTTTTGCAAAAGATGACTCCGACTTCGGTTGTATTCCTTCCTTACAGTTACAGATTCACCTTTAAAGACAACACACCTGTCAATAAAACTTATATGTCTGTGCCAAAACATTACTGCTGGGGTTATTTTTTGCTAAACAAACTAAAAGCCTAAAAATTTGGTAAAAAAAAAAAATTTCTTTTCTTCGTTTGTTATAAAATTTTGTAAATAAGTAATTTTTCTCCTTCACTGATGTGCACTAATGAGGCTGCACTGATGGGCAAGGACAGGCATCATGTGTGGGCATGGACAGGCAGCACCCATATATGGCACTGAT